GTCTGGGAAAAGGTCAGACAAGCACGCGTTCGGCTGTTATGGCTGCCGAAATGGGAGCTGGTCCCTTCAATATAATTGTTATAAAAGTTAAAAATTAAGAGACAAAGATTGGGGATAGAAATCAGGATCCAATAAAATCATTTAGGTCAGATTAATGATTTCTTTATGATTCTTTGTGGAAAAAAAAATTGGGAGTAGAAGAGAGGAATTACAGAGTGCTTAAAGTCACCACTTAGATATCATTTTCTAGGCAACTGAACACACACACACACACACACTGAGACACACACACACACTCTCAGACATACATTCTTTCATACACACTCTCACACATACTTTCTCTCATACACACATGCACACTCTCAGACATACTCTGTCACATGCATTCTCTTATGTATACTCTCACACACACACTCACACACTCTTCCAAACAGTCACTCACATATATTTTCTCACACATATTGTCACATACACACTCTTTCAAACACAGTCATACACTCATGCACTCTCAGGATACTTTTGTTATACCTACATTCTCTCATACATTCTTGTTCACAACCCTCTCACTTACACACTTAGACACCCACTCTCTCTGTCTCTCTCTCACACACACACACACTCACCTTATTGTATGCATTTTGTAGAGAATGAAACTGTTTCCATCACCAAGGATTTTGACAACTCACCTCCACTATGACAAACTACCTCAGTCTGTCTTCAAGAACAAAGCCAAGGTGAGTGAGTGAATTTGAAACATATAATATTTATTTTCATTTTGATATGTATGCATGTGTTGTCTGTGTGTGTGTGTTCGCGTGTGTGTATCATTTTTATGCTGAATTTGAAACTTTCATGTATACATACAGACCATCCTTTTATTCCTCTGGGATTTTGTGTGCTTGTTTTGTTTCAATCTTGAATTTTGGCACTGTTGGAGATCAAACCCAGAGCCTCACACATGCTAAGCAAGAACTCTACCACTGAGCTACATATTCAGCCCCATAGTTACTGGCTTTTGGTGTGATGAGTTTGTGCATAATCATGGAATTTGAATAGGTGAAATGCATAAAGTAGTATTTCTTTGGTTGTTTCTTTCTTCAGATGTTTTTGCTGCATTCAAGTTAAATGCATTTCAATTTGTATAGAAAACATACATGGAATGAAACATGCAGTTTATTATAATTGGTTTTACAGTTTTACACTTTCAAAAGAATATAGCCACATAAAATGAACAAAATTTTTTCTGGTGACATCTGCAACCGTGTTATTTTTGAATTTCTCATATAATAACAACAATTATGTTACCAGACAGAATTATTATTGCTTTGACTCCTCTTACCTTACACACCTGGCACCAGGAGTGTCAAGGCAGCCTTGCAGCCCCAGCACTCGGGAGGCTGAGGCAGGAGGTGTAAGTTATCCTGCACTCGTATTCATCCATTTCCCCACTCCTCCCACCCTGCCACCCTCACTCTTGTGTGTCCCTTCTCCCTTCATGTCACATGCATTCCCTCTTCTCCCCCTCCTCCCTCCCTTGAGGTCTCCTGTTCCTTTTCACGGTCCTCCTTCTACCTGCATGATCTACATGCATGCTTTCTGCATATGTAAGTAGGCATGTGCCATTGATTTGAGTACTGCTTATTGTGCTTAATAGTGTTTTCCAGTTGCACCTATTTTCCTGCAAATGTCAATGACTTCAGTTTTCCTCACAGCTGAATGAAGCTGGCTTGTGTGTCTGAACCACATCTCTTGCAGCCATTCATCTGTTAATGATTAGCTAAGCTGCATTCATTTCCTGCAGCCATTCATCTGTTAATGGTTAGCTATGCTGCATTCATTTCTTGGCTATTTTGGACAGTTCCATGATGCTCAAGTATAACCCCTTGGTATGTTTGTCAACAGTAAGGGAACAGTAACGCTTCTCCATCCTGGCACCTTCAGCAGCCTGAGGCTTTTCTCTACTCCTTTAAGGGACCTCCTACTCAATCCTAACCAGGATTTGTGACTTTGATGTAATAAAGTATTTTAGGATTGGTCAGTGTAAAGCAAAGTTGAAGATTTTATTAAAGGTATTTTAGTATGGTGGTGCACGCCCTTAATCCCAGCACTCAGGAGGCAGAGGCAGGTGGATCTCTGTGAGTTCGAGGCCAGCCTAGTCTACAGTGTGAGTTCCAGAACAGGATCCAAAGCTACAGAGAAACCTTGTCTCGAAAAACAAACAAACAAAAATTAGAGCACACAGGAGGCAGAGACAGGTGGACACAGCAAGTTCCAAGTCAGGCAACAGTAAGGCCCTGTCTTAAACAACAACTTGGGGCAGTGGTGGCAAATGCCTTAATCCTAGCACTAGGAGTGCCAGAGACAGGCAGATCTCTGTTGAGTTAAAGGCCAGTCTGTACTACAGAGCGAATTTCAGGACAGCCAAGGTTGTTACACAGTGAAACCTGTCTCAGAAACCCCTCCCCCAACAAAACAAAATAAAACAAAAAAGCAGCAGTAACAACAACAAAGGAAAGGCCTCAAGAAAAGAAGAAAAACCGCACTCAATAGTATGAATGTAGAATTCTCAGAGCCGCAGAAAATAAGATGGTTCCAAGTGCCGTGCTGCCTCAAGGGGGAGCCCACGATTAGTGCACACCTAGCTATCTTAAAAGCTGCTAAGAAAGCGCGCGCTCTCTCTGTCTCTGTCTCTGTCTCTGTCTCTGTCTCTGTCTCTGTCTCCTCTAATCTGATGAAACAAAACCCGGAACTCTACCCTCCCCAGTCGCTCTAATGATTAGTTATGAGCCCCCCTCCCACACCTCAGTTTAAGCCCCTAGGTGTGTTTCCAGGAATTAGTCAGCAACCTTTCTTTATATTTGAGGACCCAAGCTGCTTCTGCTGTCAGCTTGTAGCCACCCGATTTTCACAGAAAACCAGATCACCACCCCCACCCCCGAAAAGCTCTGGAAACCGCCTGAGCAGCAGAGGCTTGTTCTCAGAGGACCAGTGTTGCCCCGCGGGTTCCAGATTCCTCTTACGTGGGCTCTTACACCTATTTAGTCAAGAAACTGCCCCGCGGAGGGAGGATCGCCTACTCCTAACCCCCACCCGAAAGTTTCCGGACTTTTGCCTGTTTCTCCTTATCTGGCTTCTGCTGTGAAGGAGAAGCACCCCCC